CCACTGGTTCTACTTTCGGTGCACACAACACGACTTGTTCACCACGTAATTTACACCACATCGCTTGCACGGCTTGCGCAACACAGTATACATCTCAAAGCTAACACCCCATCCCGTAGCTCACACCACACAGCTTACACAACATCAGTTCTTTTTCCAGAGAAGAAAACAGACTCGCCCCCCTTGGGTTTATCGGCCCACCGTTTCGTACTGATATACATGTGTATATAAGAATATAACTCCACAACGTCCATCCTAACTACAGCTTCGTACCCAGCCGATCTGGTATCGACCACCCCCCCCCGCCATCCTCTGCAACAAATATTATGCGCACGCACTCGTTCAACAAAAAACACCCGTTGCCAAAACGCCCTCATACAACAAATGGCGAATTGCACACGCGCGTGTCGTCGCGGGCGCATGTCGGAATCCTTCCAGAACTCTCGGTTCCGGAAGGATGCGCAAATCGAATAAAAAAAAACACAAGTACACACAGGGTGTCGCAAGACGTTGTTCTTTTTTTAAACCAAAAAATGATATAATACAATAATACAAAAAAAACGCGCGCGTGCTCTTGCGATTTCGTGCCATCGAACAGAACTATGTAGAACTGTTGTTTTGAAAAAAGGAGAAACATCAACACATAACATACGTAGGCCAACATGTTTAGAACATGCTACCAAACGGGTTTCGCGCGCGCGTGCGGGCGCGAGAAGCATTTTGCATCAGATGAGACGAAGTGCACACGCGCGCGTCGTCGCGCGCGCATGCCAGAATCCTTGAAAAACCGTTGGCTTCGTAACGGTTTTAAAACAGAGTATAAAAAAACAAGAAAAAGCTCAACAGCACAAGGTTTCGCAACATCAGTTTTCTATATAAACAATTGCGCGCGCGCTTTTGCGAATTCTTGAGAAGAGCATGCTTCAACATCTCCATGGAATTCTGCCAAGCGGGCCCCTGGCGCCGCATGCCGACATCATTCGCGCGCCCTTGCGTTCGTGTTGGGGGGGGGCACGATCCGTGCCAAACAAAACCATGCAGGCCACTCTCAAGCGTCGGCCGCGCGAGCATGTCGAACTCTGTCCAAAACCTTCATCGCCGACGCGCAGACGCCGTCATCGTCGTCGGCGTGATCAACATGGGCGCCCGCACTGGCCGCGCCTTCGTCGGGGCACCAACATCGCTAGTATCATCAACTCGTCTACTGTAGTCGGCGCTGCCATGATATACCGCGCCCGCCCAAGTTGCCGACCCGCAGTGAAATGCCCGCTGGGATGCGCCCAGAGGTCAGCGCCACCGCGGCTACGTCGGTGGCGGCGAATTGGCTGGCCGCTGCGCGCGCGTCTATGGTTGGCGCGGCCGCAGAGATGCACCAGCCAACGCCAAGCATGCATCGCAATCGCCACCGCATGGCTTTGGCAAACCAAGTTGCGGGTGGGTTGGTGGGACGTTCGCACGCACATGGGATGTGTCAAATCATGGGTCAAAACCATTTGCACCACATAACTTGCACCGCATAGGTGCGAGGGCCAGACGGAGCATCCGCCAGTCTCAGTGTGGGTACCCTCTTGGTGTGTCCAAGTGTGACATGCCTGATATATCGCGGTGGCGATGAGCAGCCGAGAGGAGAAGGGTGGGGGGGGGCCAAACTCAATGATTCACTGGAGACACCCCCACATGCTTGCCAATAACAGGCAAGTGCAACACCGTTTGACGGCTCCCCTGGCGGAAGCGAAGACGGGGGCGCCAAACGAACGCCTCGCTGGAGGTATCCCCGAATCTGAACGCGAACGCGCAGGTGTAACACCCCCTTGCGGCTCACTGCGCTATCGCGGCGATCGTGAAGCTATTGGGAGAAAGGGGGCGCAGGTGCAGACGAGCGCCTCGCTCGAAACATTCCCACAACCTTCTGCGGCAACTTATGTTCATGGGAGCCTCCACTGTCATCTTGCTGGCTCTTGCGAACCGACGCTATCCAACGCTAATCGACGCACGTGAATGCTACTCGACGCTCGATCGGAGCTTGCTTATCGATTACCCCACGCCGGCGCACGCCAAAGCACGCTGTAAAAACTGAGTTCCACGAGCTTCGGGGGCTGCTAAAGGTGCCCCGAGCCCAAGGTGCCCCCAGCTTTTCTCTCCATCTTGGGGCCCCTTCAGGCCCCCTTTGGGCTTCGTGAAGGCTCCTCTGGAGGCCGTGGTCGCCTCCTTGGAAATCCTGGGCGCACCGTGGGCCAGGGGCACTACTAGCAACACCCGAGCGCTGCTGCCGAACACAGCCTTGGGCGCGAACGGGCCCGTCCCATACACGCCAGCCGGAAAAAGTAGGTACAACAACTGAAGTACGTAGGAAAGCGCTGCCCCCTGACTCGGGAAGAGGTAAGCCCGTTCGACCCTTGAGGTAGGAAGACGCCGCGCGTAGATTGGGATCTGGGAGTCCAGAAGTGCCTACTTCCAGCGACCGGCGAGTACCCCCTGGCGGGGCGAAGTCGCCACGACGCGCCGCCGTGGCGCGGGCGCCGCCGCTCCTGCGGCAGGCCCCCAGCCGCCTCCGCCGCGGCCGCGCCCGCGGGGTCCAGCTGGCGGTACTGCTCCCAGGCCCTGCAGCGGGCTGCCGACGCCGCCGCCGCTGCCGCCGCCGTCGCGCCGCCGCCGCCGCTGTCGCAGGCGTCGTCGCCGTCCTCGTCGTTGGTGCGCCCCTCTCCCGTACGCCGTAGGCCGCCGCCGCCATCGACGACGGCGCCGCCGCAGCTGTGAAAAGCGAGCGCCACGGCTGGTCGCCCCCGCAGATGCCTTCTGCCGGAGAGCTTTTCTCACTAAAGTCATTGTGCGATGGCGCGGTCGTGGCTCCCGAGCCATTGGTGGCAGCCGACGCACTGGCAGAGCCTGGTGTCGCGACCTCGCACAATGACTCGGAAAAGACCCATGGATAGTGGCATCCGTTGTGTTCGATCTCCGATCCTTCTCACTATCGAGCTCACACGAGATCTCACTATCGATCGAGATCTCCTGATCGATCTCACACCAAATCTCACTACTATCGTCTCGCATCTCCATGGATTTCACAATCGATCTCACAAACGATCCCACGATCGATCTCACAACAGATCGCACAATCTACCTTCGAATCGGACTCACCGTCGATCTGACAATCGAACTCACTATCGATCTCGCATTCGGGCTCACTATCAGCATCACAAGAGTTCTCGCTATCAGTCTCACAATCGATCTCCCGATCGATCTCGCAATCGATCTCATGATCGATCTCGCTGTCGTTCCACTGTAGACCTCACAAGCGATCTCACCCTCGATCTCACAACACATCTCTCTATCTGACTCTATCGATCTCACAACGAATCTCAATCTCGATCTCCCTAACGATCTCGCCATCGATTTGGCCGCCCTGCTCCGGGACACTGACTCGCGCCGCCTTGCTCGGGGACATGGAACACCGACGGGACATCGACGGGACACCCACGGGACACCGACGCGCCACCGACGGGACACCCCCGGCCACCGCGCGCTGGGGGGGGAGGGGCGGACAACGGGCTCCACAGCCCCTGGCCACGGCGGCATCACAGCTTGCGCGCGCCTGCGCAGCTTCGCCTCGCCTACACGCACGATGCGAACACGAAACCGAGACCGACTTTTCAGTGGGGGCCTCTCCGTTCCACTGCGATCTCCCCCTCTCAACCACCGACCACATAGATTGTACCATATAGCTTGCTAGAAACACCCTGTTTGGGGACCACGCTTACTAACATGATGAGCAATTGGAGAAGGAGCGGGTGGAAGGGGAAAATATGGATACTACTTATCATTATAATGATGGGGAGGGTGAACCAGCCGACGATGGTGACTAGGACCACCATGGACCAGATTTGCCATGACAGTGGAGAAGTTTGCGCACGGAGCATGTGGAGGGAGATTCTGGTGGTGGTGGCGGCTATGACGGTGATTTCGAGGAAACGTACTTAGCAGGAGAAACGTGAGGATGACTAGGGGGAGCATCATGACGATGGCTGTACTGGATGAGTGTGTGACGAGGGGTTGGAGGAGTGGGAGGAAACACGTGCAGAGGAGAAGGAATTGCGGTTATGACGAGAAGGTAAAGCAGGATGAGCAGGAGGATGACCAGGCTGATGGCGACTACGAAGAGCATGATATCAAAGAAAAGATGATTATCAGGAGGAAGAGCTGGCGGAAGACGAGGATGAACACATCACGACACATGTCTTAAATGTGACCTCCGAGGGGGGGGGGGGGGCAAACGCTTGCCCCTCCCCTGCAGCTGGGAACCCAGACGGTTCACACAACATATTGGTACCAATTATGCATACCGCGGGGGGGGGAGTGGGAATGGAATCAAAAGTCTGGCCAGTGGCGGGGTCACGGCTCAGTGGGCTAAGAGCTTGTCCTCGTGGGGGCACTGAGGTGCCCCTGTATAAAAAGGGGAAACATGCACACAGCGGGCACGACATTCCGAGCAAACGACCACGCAGTCGCACAAAGTCAACAGACGTGGAACTACATGCCGGTCAAGTTTCGCGAAGACAACGCCAGAGCAAGGAAGGAACAGAGGGACGCAGGGTACGGAAGAGATAGAGGAGTTCGCAGTTTGCCCAGCTCAGGGATGCAGGCACGTCTTGTGAGGAATTGGGGCTGGACCTGGCGCGAACCTCGCTGACCGATGGCTGGCAATTCCCCCCCCCCCCGCCAACAGCCTCGACCCACGTCGACCTCGCAGGCCTTACCAAACCTCTCTCCGAAGACCTGCGCTGCTCACTTCGTGGGGCCAATTCGTACAATGGCGGGACTGCGGACACCAGGACACGTTGGGGCAGGGCAGCGTCATGGTGAGTTTACGGACGCAATGTCTTTGAAAACCACCCCCTTCTACCAGAAAGAAGGGATGGCCCCCCCTACGTAAGTACAGTCTCAATGTTGTTAACTCTGCGCATACGGCACAACGTCCCTTACGTTCCTCCCTTCCCGCTGTTCTTCAATCACAATCCGTAGCTGCACTTACTGACTGCGATCAATGTAAAGCGTGTGAAAGAATACTGGTCCCCCCGGACAGCCCGGACAACCCCTGCAACATTGAGACCACAATCGCACAATCGCCCTTGCACGTAATTGTGGCCAGCGATCGGGAGGGAGCACTGATGTGGCCAGTGATCGAGCGGCAGTACAGACCCTACTCAAGGATGTGGCAAGCGTTGAGGCGAACGCACCACCCCCAATCAGGGATGTAGCCAATGCTCATCAACAACACGAGCAGCGCTGGAGCGAGGACGACTTTCCCACAATGAGGAGTGCGGCCTGCGATCGGGCGGTAAAACCATTCCCGATCAGAGATGCGGTCAAAGCTCGAGCGCAGCACCACATCCAATAATAAAGAATGTGGCTAATGCTCTGACGAAAAAGTGACCGCCCATATCAAATATAGATTCCTGCGCGTCCGTGGGCAATGTGACTGCACATGCCGAACACATGCCCTGCACATACCCGCGCATGCCGAGCAAAAGTTGACAACGTATGCCCCAGAGCAGGAGACTTGAGATGAGCCCCGTGCATGGGCTGGTGGGGTACAGTGAGGGGGCAAAAGCACGAGAAGGGAGATGCCGATGAGGGCACACGAAGGCGATCTTTGGAACGGCGGTCCGTGAAGGACCTCACCTGCGACCCGTTTCGCATACAACGCGCCGTGCTAAACCCGTTGGTGGCGGTCCCCGAGGCGGATCCCGCGCGAGCCCGCTCTCGCGCGGCTCCCGCTTCCGGCGGTCCATGGGGTAGCTCCTGAGCGAGGTGACTCCCACTCGGCACACCACGGTGTCAGAAGTGGCTCCCGTGGGCGACGGTCGCTAGACGGTGCCCCCCGCTCGAGCGGAGGTGCGTGGCGCGTACGGCGCCGCGCTGGTGGCCCCTGCGGCTGCGGCCCACGAGGAATCTGCCATGTGGCGCACCATGGTGGTTGCTGTGACAGTGGCCCCAGGAACGGTTCCCCTGAGAACCAGCCCGCGTGTGGTACATCTGCGAAACGGCCCGCATGCGGCGCACAACGGTGATCCTCCGAACGCTGGCCCCTGAGGCGGCTCCCGTGCGCACAAGCTCGCACACGGTGCGCCATACGGGCATTGGTGGCGATGGAGGCTGACGCGGCCCCCTTAGAAACAGGCTGGTACGCGGCGCGCCATGATGATCTTTGGCGGCTCCCAGATAACAAGTCGGGGATGATGACAACCCCCTGGACAACACCGTGGACCAATCCCTCAGACAGCCCCTCACTCCTTGAGACTACGGTTTGGGGCCCTCTTTCCTCTCGTACTAGCGCTGCGAATGCTCCTGCTGTTGCCAGGGCGAGCGACCCGCAAAGGCCTTGATGGATGACTCCTGTCGTCGTCGTCGTCGTCGTCGCCGTCGCCGTCGCCGTCTTTGTCGTCGTCGCCGTCGTCGTCTCCTGCCTCCTCCCCATCCTCTTCTGATTCCTCTTCCTCCTCCGACCCCCACCTCCTCATTATCATTTTCGTCCCCTCCTCCCTCCCTCACTCCCTCCATCCCTTCTTCCTGCTCTGTTTTCTCGTTTCTCCTCTTTCCTTTCCCACCAATTGCCCCCCATTTGTTATTACCATCTGCTGCATTTCTCAGGCGTGGAACGCGCGTAATGGGGATTTTTGGATAGGCCGGTGGGGGTACTTTTTTTTTGATTCGCGGCCCGCAAGGAAAAGTCCAGAGGGCGGTGTGAACGAGGCTGGGGCACAGCGCACGAGCTGCAGATAATTAGCGACGCCGGACCTGTGCCAGCAACAGAGGCAACCTCGAAAGCACCAGCTGAAGCTCAGGCGCCACCACGCGGACCCCAAAAACCACTGAGCGTGTGGTGATGGTTTTTTTTTTACAGCCGCAGGCGGAAGCGCCAGCGGCGGAAGGTCGCGAACGGGCCGCGGACGCGACTAAATTACCTAACGCGCGCAGGGCCGCGGATCAGGCGGCTCACGACAGCGTCCAGGGAAATGTGCAATCCAGGTGCCATGACAGCCCCTGAACGGGCATGCAGGTGCGTCCAACAGGCCTGAGGTAGGCACCGAGACCACCAAGCGCAGCCAAAATGGCGCGAAAACGTTCCAACGTCCAAGAGCGGACAAGGGAACGACCGAAGCCAGCCCCAGCCTGTCGGGTAACACAGAGGTCGGGGTGGTAAGTCCAACGAGGATCCCGACGGCGGCAGCGAGCCTCGGCGTCAGCGACATCAAGGTGTATCCATGTTCCGAAAAGACAACCACACCAAGACGTATCGGCCCAGACCCAACGGGTGGAAGGGCACCGAATGCACGCTCCCGTCGAAACGCGGCGTGTGCACAGCACAGTGTCACAGTGCAGTCCAATGAGACGGAGAGGGCGATGGGGGTACGCGAAGCATCAAGAATTTCGGGCTCAAGCTGCCAACCCATCATATAAGCTGAAACAACCCTGAAAGAAAACACGAGACGGCCCTGGAAGAAAACCCCGTCACTTCCCGAAGACGGCCTGGGAACCCCCCGAAACAGCCCGAGACCTCTCAACGCGGACTCCAAGATGGCTTAAGAACAGGCGTCGCAATATCCACGCCACAGCACAGCCCGCGCCTGGCTCGAGACTTGATGTGCAGACTCCCCGCGCGCGGTGCCGGACATGCGCGGCAGCGCGACTGGAAAGTTTTCACATGCTACGGCCTCTGGGGGCGCTGCGCTGACACGATCGCAGGACTCGCTGCAGACACCTAGACGCTCAGCCTCAGTCGTGTCAAGCCTGCTCTGCGATCTAGCTGGCCGATAGCAGCCCCATCTGGGGGGGGGTCCCGTCCGAACTTCCCAACAAAACAATACAAGCAATACATTAAACATGTGTTTCGTCTCCGCATGGGCACTACGCCGTCCATTTTGCAAAGTGCGTGGCAGGAGCGGGACTCGGCGCACATCCCGCGCGAGAGGCAGATTTGCTGCTCTCGCCTGGGCGCCGCACTCATTTTTCCAGAGAGCTGAGCTCCCGCTTGGGAGCGGCACATTATTAGCACGCAACATCGTCGACGCACGAGCAGACGAACATGTAAACGTCGCCTCGGTGACGCGCAACTTTCGCCTGGAAGTGGCGCTCCCACCTCCACGCGGCGAATCTGTTTCGCTCTTGAATGTTTGGTGGCCCGCGCGAGTGGGCGACTTGTCTCCCTTGCCTAAGCTCCGTGCTCCGTGCGGCGTTGCGAACGTGGCCCATACTCTTACCCATTCTCTTACACGCCCATACCAGACACTGACACCCACACCCACTCACACGTGGACTCACTCATACCCAGGCCCCTTAGCTCTTACCCAGACCCCATGGCCTTCGCAAAGTTGCAGGACACGAAGATTGCCATGGGCCCGCTGGCTCCGAGATGGGGGGGGCATCTCAAGTAGAACGTCCGTTTTGGGACGTAGACGTGTCTCCATTCAGAGCCCCGTACCCTCCACGATGTAAAACTGCATCCTCCCCCCGCTTGGGGGTCAGCGACCATGAGAACTATCATGGGCTCGTTCGCGCCCAGATCGGAAGGACCTACCAGGTCGAACTCCCAATTGGGCACATAGCCGCGTCTCGTTTCAGAATCAGGTGGCCACCGCGAAGCAGCAAGCGTCGTGTACGGGCTGCACAGGGGGGATATCAGTTTAGCCATTGCGGGCCCAATCGTACACGGTGGACCTCTCAATAGACCGGCCAGGGGAATGTATGCCCGCATCTTTCCACAAACCCAATGGCCCAACAGTGTCATGCCCCGAGAACGTCCCAAAGGGCCCCCAAGAGAGCCCACACGGCCCCCAAGACAACCACCAATAGGGCTGCGAGAGTGCTTCCTAGAAGGTATGGCTCTGCATGCACTCCACGGCGGTCCCCTTTCTGCTGACGCCCTGGCCTCCAGGATTGTCCCAGGAAGGCCCAAAAGAGGCCAATAATGAAGCCCCTCCCTCCAGGATGGCCACAGGAAAGCCCGCAAGAGGCCAAGAATGACTCCCAGCGGACCCCAACGGAATCATCATGTGACGTGACGCCAAGCGACTTGAAGGGTGCCTTGCTGCTCGGGTTGATGTCACCTTGGCTGCGACTGGTGCAGTCCCATTTAGCTTCAAGATCTCACCCGCTGCCCTTGCCAACACAATACGTCTGGAAACCGATCCTGGATGGAATGGAGGCGGCTCACAAAGGACGTACGCGCCCAAGCACGTACATGAACACGGCCCCCCAATCCGCGAGACTAGCCGCGTGAGACGAGCGTTCGCGCAATGCGTACTCTCGGAACCGAGGTGGATTCATGTACGTCCTTCTGCCGCTCCTGAAGATAAAAGGGGATGCGGAGGATGGTGACAGGCTGAAAACAGCCCGCAGGGCGTAAGCGCGCACAGGAAGCACTGAGGCGAGAGGCATCACTTCGAGACAGAGATCTCCACATCCTTGGGGTGCATCTGGCGGTATGGAGGCTTCGGGCCGCTCGTTGGATAAGCGCGGCCGCCGGCGGCATTCTTCCTGTCCACATCGGCCTCCAGCGTCGCCAACCTTTGGCGAAACGCCTTGAACGCCTGCAAGATCTCTGCCTCCTTCTGAGTACCGTTTATCCGATCCCCATCCCCAGCGGCGTGGGCTGGGCCCACTGGCCGATTTACCCCCCTAGATAGGGATATGGGCCGTTCCCTTCGGGTTTCGAGGGATGTATCCCCAACTGGGGGGGCAATTTGGTGGGGGTCTCGAAGGGGATGGGGATGGAGACCGGGGTCGGTTAAACGATGCTGACCTTCGGCAGCCCCTTGTACAGGAAGTCGTAGTCGTGGGAGATCTTCGGCATCCGCAGGCTCGTGGCTGCCGACACGAGCGCGTACAGCGCCGCCTGGCGCGGGCGCGCCGACCTCTCGCCCGGCAGCCAGCTGAGGCCCACCATCTCGGGGTCGCGGACGATGTCGGCGACCTTGCCGACGTGGGCGTGGAAGCCGGTGACGGTGAACATCTGGACCTTTTGAGCAGGGACCGGCCGTCCCAGCATTCCTATAGGCCTACCACGAACATTCTTCCAAAAACAAAACAATGTTCTTAGAAAATCAAGCCGATGCGTTAAAACAAAACAGTCCCGGCCAGAAATGTTCTAAGAACATTCCGTGGAAACCGCAAAAGGTTCATAGAACATTGTTCGGTCGGCCTATAGGCACGCTTGGACGCCTCGCCACTGCTTCGACCTTGAGCAGCTTCTTCAGCGCCGCGCAGGTCCACCCGCCCGCCGCGCTCCCGCCGTTCAGCCACGCGAGGTTGTCTGCCGCGCGCCCGCCGCGCTCCTCCGTCAGGTAGTCCTCGACCGCGTGGGCGTAGGTCATCAGCCCCTGGTCCCTGATCTCCCCCCCAGACGCCCCGCACCACTCCGTCCCGTGCGCCTGGAAGAAGTCCTCGATCAGCTCGGAGATGACCTCGAAGAGCGCCGGAGCGTCCTGGTAGTACGCGGTCTGCTGGAGGCGGGGGTGGAGCGCCGCGAACTTCGCCTTGTCCAGCAACGGGTCGAAGTAGTCCCTATACTTGTAGATGCTGTCCTCGGCAGCATCGTGCACCTGCTGCCATTCCACGAATGGGGAGCCGCGGTGCAGGAGACCATTGGGCGCCATCAGGTTGTGGATGGCATCAACGTTCACACCGACAGTACCAAAGCTGATCATCCCGAGAAATCGGCGCAGGGCGTGGGTGTGCGGGATGCTATCGCGCGCGATAGTTGCAACGGCGTTCGCCATGGGAGCCCTCGACACTCGCCGCCATCATCCAGGGTGATCGCGTGTGGCTGCAACTGCTGGAAAACGCAAGTGCCGTTCAGGCTCCAGGTCCACGTGGCTGCAACTGCTGGAAAACGCAAGTGCCGTTCAGGCTCCAGGTCCACCTCCTCCGACTCCTCCTGCTCCTCCCTCCCCGTCCCCCCTTCTTCTCCTCCGTCTTCCGATCTCCTCATCTCCGACCCTCTCCACCTACCCGCCCTACTCCTTCTCATCCTCTCCACCTTCACCTCCCGATCTGGCCAGGTCGTCCGCCCCATGACCACATCCCCTTCCCCCTCCTCCACCTCTTCCCCGACGGCGTGCGCCAGCACTATGCCACACGCGGCCTTTCTGGATGGCGGCGGCGGGTGCCGACGGTGCTGGACTGGTGAGTGAACCACAGGTGGTCGACCACGGTCACCATGTTGAAGAGCGTCGAGCGGAATACCCACTTCCAGTATTGCCACTCCTGCACGCTGCTCTCGGACTTCCAATACTGCTTGCCTGCGGGGGTCTGCACCATCAGCGGCATCCCCTCGGCGCTGAAGTACATGTCGGCGCCCCAGTTTGCGAAGCCAGGGCGGAGCGTGAAACCTGCCACGCTGGTCGTGCGAACGACGAGCGCCGCCGTCTCGCCGCCCTTCTGGACGCCCGTCACGGGAACCGCCCGGTGCGAGCCGAAGAAGTCTAGGGCCAGGTGCGACTCGAGGAAGTCCGTCCAACCCCCGCCATAGGCGGACAACGCTGGGTCAAGGTAGAGGTGCCGGTAGTCAATCTCCTTGTCCGCGTATATCGGATCGCCATCCTTGTTCGTAGCTTCGAACAAGTTTTCCATGATCCATGACTCTTTGGTCTTCGTTGCGCTCCCCCCCAGAGCCGTGGTCCATGTGTTGGCGCTGCCCGTGACCCCATCGGCGTAGGGAAAATTCTCCACGACTAGAAAGAAGCAGACCGACGCCCAGGCAACCACCTCACGCATAGAATCCCCCTCGCATGCTGGCGCCTTCGGGTCGGCCTCATGACTGGGAACCAAGTTCTTCCACAGACGAATCTTGTCCGACAGCTTTGTCTGGGACGGGACACACATCCTCTGCTCGGCAGGCAGATTGCTGCCGCCCTTGTTCTTCAAGCTTGCGGCGACGCCGACGACAAAGGCAAAAGTAGCGTCGTCAAAGACAGTCCGGTCAAGAGCCGGCTGATGGACAATCTGAGATCAAAAGCGCAAAACGGCCGACGTACATAGAAACTTGAGTATCGTTTAACCGATCCCCATCCCCAGCGGTGTGGCCTGGGCCCCGCAGGCCGGTTTACCCCCTAGATGGGGATGTAGGCCGTTCTCTTCGGGTTTCGAGGGGTGTATCCCCAACTGGGGTGGTAATTTGCTGGGGTCTCGAAGCGGATGGGGATGGAGATGGGGGTCGGATGAACGATACCGAAAAACTACCGGTGGCCCGCGTGCAGTTCCTGGGTCGGCGCTGGGCCCGCCACCGTTCCCTGCCGCGCAGAGCTCTCCAAGGAGGGCGCCAGGAGGCGTCGCGAAGGGCCCAGCACCGGCCCAACAGATCCGCGCGGACCTCCCGACGTTTGTCTTGCTGCCGTTTCTGATGTTTTGAAGCCTTGCTCAGCGACATGTCCAGAAAGGCATCGTCGAAGAGCAGGGCCGAGTTGAGAATCTTCGCCCCCGCGTAGCCCAGAACGGAGGGGCAACGGTCGAGCTCCTCGCTCAAAGTGTCCACCTCGTAGCCCTTGCCGCGGAAAGCGTGAAAGTGGATCTCGCCTCGGCTACACGCAAAAATATCCCTAGTCAAGAGCGACCTCGGGTACGCGGCTGGACGCTCGTTCAACCCTTGCGTGCGATGCGACAGACGACGGACGCGGCTTGCGTGTTTGGATTTGGAACCCACGCGCCCCCCCAAGAGGCCGCGCACCCTGGGTCACTCCGGCGAAGGGTCACCCTTACGTGTAACCAATTGCCTGGCGAGGATGTCCCGGTCAGTGCTGGGTTTTCGCAATACGCTACCCACTCGTCAAAGGCTGGCTGCAATTTATTCCCGGCGCCGTCGATCACCTGAGTGAGGCGGTAGTTGCCCGAGCCGTCCTCGTCATTGATGTTGAGAATGGGAACGCCTGACGTGCGGAGCCACTTCACAGATTGTCCAGAGGTGCTGCCGTCATGTGGGGCAGGTTCCAGCGTCATGTTGAACGCCAGGAGCCACGACGGCACTGTGACCCCAAGCACATTCCGTGCCGAAGGTATGATCTGAGCGAACCTCGGGTTCGTCGGCGAGTCAAAGTGGAAGTCGTAGACCAGGTCGATCGTCTCCGCGAGCATGAGGGACTTCAGAAAAGTGTCCGTGTGGAACGACCAAGAACGATCCCCGCTGACGCGCACCTTGTAGGTGCCGTCGCTTGCGATCTTGCCTGGGCTCTGGTCGCACCCGTCGGAGGTCTGGCCGAATGACATGATTGCAGAGGAGTCGCCCTGCTTCTTCAGCCAAAATCCGCCGGTTCCCCCTGTTGGGCCTTAGGGCTGTGAACAGTCACGCTGTGTTGACTGCAGTGCTGCAGTTGGTGCGACGCAGAGATTTGACGCACGAGTTGGCCCCCCGGCCCGCAAAGAGGTTCTTTGAACCACACCCTGAAAGGTACCTGTCGAGTCCGTGCCTCTTACAATACCGCGACAGTTACTCTGGATCCGCGCAGTCAGTGCCACCAGGTCTGGTAAACTACGCTACGTGCATCCACGTTCCCCTTCCAATACACGCTTGATCGACGCTCACAGGACCACGATTCCCTCCGAATTGCTCATGGGGCGCACTCCCATGGTCACAACACCAAGTATTTCTGTGCTGGGTCCTCGCGGCGCTCTCAAAGCCACGATGAATGGTAAATCGCGCTGGTTCCGCGCTCCCACGGCCACGATCACCACGATGAGGATCTCTCCTCATGCACGCTCAGGGGTCCATGATCGTTTCGAGTTGTGTTGGGTCCATACTCGTCGGGCGAACATACATTTTGGAAAACCAGCCGAGAGCCCACAATCGGGTGGCACCTCACTGGACAAGAACGGGAAGGAGGGCAGCGAAAGAAGCAGGAGGATAACGAGTAGGGAGACAAGCCCAAGGACCGGGATGGACGAGGCGGAATAGGAACTGTTTTTCCCAACCACCGTATGGTGTTGGGGCCTCGCTTTGAAGAGGCAGCGCCCCGCGTTCTCCTTCTCCTCCTCCTCCCCCTCGCTCCTCCTCCCCCCTCCGTGCCTCTGCCCTCCGCATGTCTCTGTTTCGGTGCACCCCCAAACGGCTCGCGATCCCCATGGGAGCTTCACCGAAGGTCCCCGTGGCGCAGCCCGTATGCGTCCCCGCCACCACTTTCGAAACGCCCCACACACGCTTCGCGGCCACATAAGGAGCTCCACCGAATGTCCCAGTGGCGCAGCCCGCATGCGTCCCCGCCGCTCATGCCGGCACACCCCTCACACGTTTCGCGTCCCCATGGGAGTTCCACCGAAGGTCCCAGTGGCGCAGCCCGCATGCGTGCCAGTCACCAATTTCGGCAAACCCCTCACACGCATCTTGCCCCCCATGGAGAACTCCACCGAAGGTGCCAATGGCGCAGCCCGCATGAGTCCCCGCCACCCATTGCCTCACACGTCTCGTGGCCCCATAGGGAGCGCCACCGAAGGTCCCAGTGGCGCAGCCCTCTCGCGTCCCCGCAACCCATGTCGATACACCCTGCACACGCTTCGTCGCACCATAAGAGATCCGACCATGGGCGCAGCCCGCATGCGCCCCCGCCACATATTTCGTCACAGCCCTCACACGCTTCGTGGCCCCAGAGAGGCTCCGCCGAAGGTCCCCGTGGCGCACCCGTTTCGTGGCCCAATAGGAGCTCCACCGAATGTCCCAGTGGCGCAGCCCCCATGCGTGCAGCCTCCCATGTCGGCACACCCACGACACGTTTCGTGGCCCCACACGGAGCTCCACCGAACGTTTCCGTGACGCAGCCCGCATGTGCCCGCGCCACCCGTTTCGGCACACCTCTGAGACGTTTCGTGTCCACATGGGGGCCCCACCCAAGGCACCAGTGGCGGTGCCCACATGCGTCCCCGACACGCATTTCGGCACACCCACGACACGTTTCGTGGCCCCATTGGGAGCTCCACCGAACGCCTCCGTGCTTCCGTGGCGCAGCCCGCGCGCGTCCCCGCCACCCATGTCGGCACACCCCGCACACGTTTCGTTTCCCCATAGGAAGCTCGACCGAAGGCCCCAGTGGTGGTGCCGATATGTGTCCCCGCCAACCAATTCGGCGCACCCTCACACGTTTCGTCGCCTCATGGGGAGCTCCACCGAAAACGATATCTACAACTGCGCTCCTCACAACTTCAAATGGTTGGGTCATTTGCCAGGTTACGTAAACTTGTTTTCGGTTTTTGTTCCCAGTCATCCTGTAGTGTTGGGTCCTCGTTTTGAAGAGACAGCGCCCGCGTTCTCCTCCTCCTCCTCCTCCTGCTCTTCCTCCTCCTCTCCCCGTCCCCACCCCCCCTCATCCGTGCCCCTACCGTACGCACGTCTCTGTTTCGGTGCACCCCTCACACGTTTCGCGACCCCCATAGGGAGCCCCATCGAAGGTCCCAGTGACGCAACCCCCATGCGTCCCCGCCACTCATGCCGGCACACCCCTCACACGTTCTATGGCCCCGTAAGGAGCTCCACCCGAGGCCCCCGTGGCGCAGCCCGCGTGCGTCCCCGCCACCCTTTTCGGCAAACCCCTCCCACGCTTCGTGGCCCCATAGGAGCCCCACCGAAAGTCCCAATGGCACCGCCCGCACGCGTCGCCGCCACCCATTTCAGCAAACCCCTCACACGCTTCGTGGCCCCAAGGGAGCTCCGCCGAAGGTGCCAGTTGTGCAGCTCGCCCGCGTCCCCGCCATCCATTTTAGCACGCCCCTCGCACGCTTCGTGGCCCCACAGGGAGCCCCGCCGACGGCCTCAGCGGCGGTGCCCACAAGCGTCCCCGCCACCCACATGGGCACGGCCCTCACACGCTTCGTGGCGCCATTAGGGACTCCACCGAAGGGCCCAATGGCGCAGCCCGCATGCGCCCCCGCCACCCATGTCGACACACCCCGCACACGTTTCGTGGCCCCAAAAGCGGGGCTCGACCGAAGGTCCCACTGGTGACCCCGCATGTGTCCCCGCCATCTATTTCGGCACACCCCCGCCACGCTTCGTGGCCCCATAGGGAGCTCCACCGAAGGTCCAAGTGACGCAATCACAAGCGTCCCCGCAACCCATTTTGGCACGCCCCGCACACGTGTCGCGGGCCCATAAGGAGCTCCGCCGAAGGTGGAGTGGCGTAGTGTGCACGCGTTCCCCCCCACCCATGTCGGCAAACCCCGCACTCGCTTCGTGACCTCATAGGGAGCTCCAACGATGACGATGCTCACAGCTGCGCTACTCGCAACTGCATATGGTCGGGTCCTTCACCAAGCTAGCTCATGCGTTATCTTGCTTTCAAGAAAAAACACGCCGCACAAGCGCCGCGCGCGTTCACCGCTTTCTGGAAGGCCGACTACAGAGACGACGAAGGAACGGGGGGGAGACGATTAAGACGAGGACGGGGGTGAAGCACCGACGGGCCCAAAACGGAGACGCGACAACACGAGGGGCAGCGACACGGAATGGCAGGCGACAACACAAGGGATAACAGAACGAGGCGAGGCAAACGACAAACGAAAAGGGAGGGGGGACTGTCACGTGGGTCCTGAGTGCCTCCATCGCGAATTCCAGACTGCCCACGACGACACTATCATGGGCGTGCGCATCTCGCATCCAGCCCCACAAGCATCCCATCCCACTGCCGGGTGCTGGACGGATTGCCAGCCTCACGCACGCCACCGACGGCCACGGCATGCGACCGCACAGGTCCAAAAACGACAGGCCGCCACAGCTGTTGCCACAGCCCCCCGAAGCACGAACATATGTCGCACAACTTGCTCGCCACCGCCATCGCGATGCATGGCAAGCGCCGCACCGCACTCGCCAAGAAACCGCTCAAACACATCAAGTACGGCTGCTCCTCGCTCGCTCCGCACATGCGCATTAATGACGCGAGTGGACGTTAAAAGGACGGTGTGCAAGGCAACTCCGCGAAGAGGCACAAGTAAAACACTAGCCACACCACCACTATCGCGAAGCAGTCCACGACATGGAACGAACTCCACCACAAGAAACTGCGACACGCCACACACAATCCGATGAACACCTTCCCCGCGACAAGTTTGAAGCTCAGTATGAACCCCACGGCAAAGGTCAACCAACACATGATGAAAGCACGCACCCCGAAGTTCCATAGGAAAGTAACGGTCTGGATGCAGAACAGGAAGATCCCCAGCAAGTGCCCCACCACAACCACCGCCACAGTTTTCACTAGGAAGAACCTGAAAAACCAGGAGGACGATCCCGAGGATGAATACCACCAGCCCGACGAGAAAACGAGTCAACCATACTGTTTTGTGTGTCGTCAGGAACGTCCAACCCGCACAGGGGGGCACCGACCAGCGGCTCGAACCCCTGTGCGTCGCGGTTCCACGAAAACGTTGGGAAGTAAGGAAAGGCGGGATACCAGGTACCCCATCATGGGCATGAGCAGCTGATTTTGGAAGGACATCGAGGCGTCTGGGAATGTTCGCCAACTGCCCCTTCGCCCACGCCCCCCCCCCCCCCCCCCACACCACAGATCGTCATATCCTCCCGGTTGTTCGATGACGAAGCTACGGCGCCGCCCTCCAGCGCCAGGACGGGAAATGATGCTGACCACCTCCGTCGCCGCCATCATGGTTTCCATCACTGGCGCCGTCATCGGCAGGGCCTCAACCAGGATCAAATTGAAAATCGGTCGTCGCCTCGCTGATCCCCGAATGGCGATGCCGTTGGCTATGGTCACAATTGCACTGCGAGCGCCCCAGATCTATCAATGCGCGCAGATAGCTGCCATGCATGGGAAGAAGGCGTGAGACTCCACCTGGGTGGAGCTTGAAGATATACTTCTCCGGCGCGGCTGCCGCGTTGAAGCTGGCCTGGGGCCAACTCCAACATAATTGGTTTTACCGAAACTCATCGAATATACGCCGTGTTATCTGCGCAGCGTGTTCTACGCTGTGTCGGCGGCGAATCGTTATTATATAGAAGGTGCGGTTTATTTTTACGCGGCGTGTTTCATGTGGTGTCGCCATTTGCAAACGGTCACGCGTTGTCATCCATGCACTGTCCTCTACGCAGTCTTCTACGCGGTGATTTATCTGCTTGTTTGTACCAAGCATAGTATTCGCAGTGTCTTCTGCGCAGAGTGCCATCACCCGAGTATCGTTACCAGGTGTCGTCTGTGCTGTGTCTTCTACGCTGTACCCTCCACGCTGTGTATTATACGTTGCGTCTTCTACGCAGTGCCTTCTACGACACGTGTTCTATGCAATGGTCTCTACGCCGTGTTTTCTACGCAATGTTTTT